CATATATAGAATCCACACGTATAGTTTGTCAATCACAGCGATTCTTGAACTCAGCTACCGCTCGGTTCGTAAGCAACGCTCGATGCGAGCGCGCACGACGCGCGGCCGCAAAAATAGCGGGCAGTTTGGCCGTCGCGTTCTTCGAATTTTTCACACAGTATATTTCTTTCCATCTTTGCGCGTCTAAATAATCCGGTTCCACGCCAGTAGCTACGATAGCGAGCGAGTTACGTGGCGAACAGCAGCGAGAGCGCGCGCGCCGTGGAAAAATATCTGCGCGACGCGATTTTCATTTTTTTTTAGAATGACGATATCTGAGCACATCTCATTCATACAAGGCAGATTATCCATCGTAAGAGCAGAGTTCTGCATCGTCACGACCATAACCACGAGCGACGGATACATGGCCTATATCATCATCCACAAGAGAACTCGACAATTACGATCATTGAGGCACTCACCATGAGCGGAATTGAGTAGTACTCGGTCCATGCCGTCATTTCCCAACTAAACACGGAGTCGTTGGTCGCTAAGATGTACCAGATCTGCGGACTGTGAGCCTCATACCCCAGATAAGGATCACGGACATACCCAGAGCAACGTATACATCATTCCGCTCTCGATCCACACAGCAAGCGTGCGAACCAACCGGCCCGATCCAGTGAACAGATCCTTCCGTTCTTTCCAGAGGGTCCTGGTGGACATTAGTCGACACCGGAATCTACAGTGAAGTCTACGCAGAACGGCTTACCATGCTTTGTATGCGATGAGAGTTGTGGCGAAGACTTGAACTGTGACCGTGATCGAAGCTGCGGCCAAGTACGGTGCGACAACGATGATACTTGACATCGACTTGCGGCGGACAACCTCGGGAGGGGTGGGGAGTATGTGGGTGTAGAAGACGAGGTATCCGGCGTAGACGCCTGCGATACTGTAAGCCTCTCCTGAGTGATCATCGAAGAAAGAACAGGCGCGCACCGAATTCTGTCAAAAGGAGCAAGGGAATGGCGATACCGAGCCATCGTGCTTCCCTGTGCACAACGTACGCTCGCCATAAAGCAACAGCGTCACTGGCAGTCCACTATAGAATCATCCTGGTGAGTACAGACGACAGGATCCATGCCATGATCACGTACGATGAAGCCTTGTATCACAGCTTGGGCATACCAGGTTGTCCCGAGCCTGTTCGTCAGAGACTGGTACGGGTCTGGGCCAGCTGTGGCTGTGAGTAACTCCGGCCAAAACACCAGTAGCTCTTGTTGCGCCACTACGACGTCGAGAGCCCAGTAGGCCAGTGCTAGAAGATACATGAATACCGCCAAGCAGAGTAACGCGTTGACGTGTATCCTTCGGTGATGCGCGTAAACGAACGCAGCATCCGGCTCCTTCCGAGTCCTAACGACCAACGTTAGTTCACATCGCAGCTCGCTCAGAGGGAAGTGTGGACTAACCATCGGTGGTAGGCGAAGTAGGTCGTCTGCACAGTGAAGATGGCTGCAACAGATAAGGTCAGGATTGGCGAAAGCGGGCGAGTGAAAGCACGTACCAATCAATCCTGTCTCGACTAAAAGAGGGAATATATGGATCTCCGCGATGGTGTGGAGAGCGGTGATCGGCGAGTCGTGGTCGAATTGCACCTCGGGCTTGCCGTACGGGGCCATGAGTACTACCGCTGGCAGTGACAGCACACGGCAGGCTTGAGAAGGCTCTGAAGTCGGAGAAGACCCTCGCTGACCGTACGTCCGCCAGCTATATGTGCTGCGTTACGCCATCCGCCCGCATTCTAGCCGTCGTGATCAGTGTCATTTAGACACTTTGAGAGTGCGTGGCGGTGCCGATCCAGCGGGAGGCCACTACAGCAACATGAGCGCTATTCATATGAGCCAGATAGATGAAGAAAGGGGAAGTTAGGGTTGCAGGACTCGGATATCGATGTGGAGGCGGGGAGGTTGCGGGGAGGCGTATACAGTCCAACTGTGTCACCACGGAGATGATCAGTCGAAGAGGTGTTGTACTTGCGGGTGCCATTGAACGAGCCATATGGCGATCAGGGCCACCTATACGCGATAGGCGCCGATTCCGCGAGCTTGACATTCGATTGTATACATTGCAGATACGTGTATGATTGGAAGGGCGCAGGCGTCATCTGCGAGTCAAACTGGGGACAAAGGTCTAGATTAGCTGGAATAGAGTGCTGCGAGCATCGAATAACAACTGTCGGCGGTCGGCCTTGCTCATGATCGTCGGCGCATCGGATTTGATGGCGCGAAGAGCGCTCTTGCGCGCCTACGACTGCTAATCGAGCTTTTCGTCGATCATGATGCTGGAGGGACGAGGATGCGTATTCGGCAGGTTGTCGTCTGCTGTCAAAGCTGAGTTCTGCATCGTAACGACCATCACGACAAGGGTTGGATACATGGCCTAAACGTGATATGCGTTAGAGTCTGCGGAGTAATAGGGCATAGACACTTACCATGAGCGGTATCGAGTAGTACTCGGTCCACGTAGCCATCTTCCAGCTGACAATCGAGTCGTTGCGGGCAAGGATATACCATACCTACGGCCAGGAACAACTTGTCAATAGGCGTAGTGAGTGGATCAGTGAGACATGAAACGCACCCAGAAGAGGGTGTACGTTACGCCACTCTCAATCAAGAGCGCCAAGGTGCGAAACACTCTGCCGGGTCCATTGAACAAGTCCTTGCGACTCTTCCATACCATCCTACGCGCTCGTTTAGACCACAGAACTGCGAGAGACCTGCGGGATCATGCTCACCAGGCTTTGCACGCGATGACGCTTGTCGCGAAGATCTGTACGGCGATTGTGAACGATGCTGCTGCGAGGTAGGGCGCGACGACTGTATCTCCCGTTTCGTGTTCACGGGCGATGCTATGCGGAGGACTGGGTAATATGTGGAGGTAGAAAACGAGGTATTGCGTGTAGACGCCTGTCGAAGGAGTCCTGGATCAGCTCAGCAGGCGTGCCAGGGACCTCAGACTTACCAAGCTCGGTCAGAGCGAGTAGACATATGATGATACCGAGCCACCGGGGCCGTCCATGAACAGCATACGCGCGCCACAACGCTACGCCATCGCTCGCAATCCACTGGATAGGTCATCGTCACCGATTGTCCATATTGATCATGACCATCGTACTCACGATGAAGCCTTGCAACACGGCTTGCGCGTACCACTGTACGCCCAGCATGTTCGTGAGAGTCTGGAACGCGTCGATGTTGGGCGGTCCAGAGAGCAGTTTAGGGAAGAAGACGAGTAGCTCTTGTTGGAGGATGGCGACGTCTAAAGCCCAATATGCCACGGCGAAGATGTATATGCATATGTGTATGCATAGCATAACGTTGATGTGCGGTCCTCGGTAGTGATGGTGTGCGTGGGTTGTCCCGGACTGAAGTGCCTTATCGTCTCTGGAGCTACGATTCAATGTGAGTCCATGCTCGTGCCAATGTGCATAGTAGGGGTAGGGACTTACCATCGGTGATACACGAAGTAGATGGTCTGGACTGAGAATACCGCTGCGAAACGTGCTCCCTGTCAGTAAGACAACAGAGTGAGTGGAAAGATAGGACGGACCAAGTAGCGCCGTTTCCACAAGAAGTGGGAACAGGTGTATATCCGCGATACTTTGCAGGACCGACAGCGGCTCCTCGGTTGCGAAGAGCTCCTCCGCCTTTCCGTATGGGGCCATTATCGAAGGTTTGTCGTCAGGAAAGGAATGAAGAACACTCTGAAGATGACCTGTGTCTGTTCAGTCAGTAGTTCAGCCACTTTATACAGCGCATGCTCAAGCCGGCCCTGGCGCGGGAGATAAGAACGGATGCTCAGATAGAGCATGACGATGTTGTTCAAGGAGGAGGTCGGCCACTAGGACCTGCCGTCCCCAAGGCTTAATGTATCCATTCGAAGAGCGGAGGGCAGCGACCGCACGCAAATGAATGCGCGTGTACATGCGGCGCATCCAGTCCAACTGTGTCGCTCCACCGGCTAGTGGCTGACATGTCCTGGGTGTGAACAAGCCCACCATCGGCTTTCGCCGGACATTTGCGAGCGCCTATAGGAGTACCTGGCGGTGACCCCTTTAGCCCTGAGCTAGGGCGCGCTCAGCAACGTTTTGAGGCTTTATGCGCATGCATCTAGCCCGCAGTGACAGCACTACAGCTGATCACCATTCATGCGCGGCGTCACACGTCATGAATACTCCGCAGAGTACCGGTGTAGACGGAGATGTAAGCATAGTCGCTAGGGCAGAGTATACTTTGCGCGGCCGTGCTGTGGCTGAGGGCGGGAGTGATGATTTGCGGGAGCAAAGCCAGCAACGGCCCCGGATATTGACATCGCACGGCGGGCTTGTTGCACGACATGTCGTTGAATATTCAATTTTTGTCGACCGGAGAGGCCTCTAGGTACACATTGCCATTTTCAGAACCAACGTCGTTGTGGTGGGTTTGGCAGTTGGCCGAAAGTGACGCAGATGATGGTGGCTGGAAGCAAGCCCGGGCAGACCGAAGGCGCGCAGCGCGAACGACGCGCCTTGTTCATTTCGGCTTCCTCCGCCGCCCTCTGCCTCTTCCCATCATCTATGGATGGCGGGCGCTCTTCGCGAGGAAGGTGAGACTCGGGAGGAGTGACTGTCATTCGGACCGATATGTAAAATGTACAAATAGATACATGAGGAAGACGAGATGGCAGTCGGGACATGCTGACGAGCGGGACGTGAGACGCAGTGCTACGAGAAGGTGGGCGAAGCCCACGCGCAGCGGCCTCGGCCGGCAGCGGAAACGCGTCGCGCTGTGTGCGCGGAGTGGCGCGAAGTTCGATGCGAGATTCGATGCGCACGGAAAACGCGTTCGGGGCTGCACGGCGGAAGGGCGAAGCGCGCGGGGCTTCCGGCCGACTTGAGGGGCCAACCTGGACAACGAGGGGGCTGAGACGAAAGTGAGCGAGCATCCCCCAAAACCGCAGCAGGAGCCTGAGCGACGCGTCGAGCGAGAACTCGTCGATACCCCCGAAGAAACAGGAGTGAAGGCTGTGGCCAAAACCTATAGAGATATTGAAAACTCACATGTTAGTGCCCACGTGCAGTGGGAAGGACAATACGCGTGATCTGCTGGTGTAGTGTCGGGTTGGGCAGGAGGAACGGGGCCATGATTTCGGCGTGGTTCCGGAGGTACTTGGACCATGCTTCGTCGGTGGCCCAGCGGCCTTTGACCTTCATGGCATCCGGTGGTGTGCCATTAAGCAGGTGCCACAGGGTACTGCCGATGCGCGCACTATGTCCGGGAGGCAGGTTCACGCCAGCGGCGACCGCGGCAGTCTTGAGGCGCGCGTACATGGCCGTCTTAGTCAGCCCGCGGCGGGAGTTTCGTTGCTTGCGATCCGGGTGCGGGTATTCGAACAGAAAGGCATCAGGTGCCGGGTTGTTGAGGGCGAGGTGGACTTGCACAGCTTCCAACGGGTCGCAAACCCCGTATTCGGGATGGGGCGCACAGTAAACGTCCTCGCCATCGGATTTTGTCTTGGTCCATGGGAGCTTGAAGACGAGTGTGGTCCGGCCAGAGGCTTGCCGTAGTTCGAAGTGTGATCTCCGGACGTGCTTGTGAGGCTTGTCAAAGTCATCGAGCTTCTTGAGGGTGAACTCGCCGAGGCGTGCTGTGCACCAGAAGGTGACCAGGAGGCACGCTTTGACTGCAACATCGAAGTGGGAGGCCATGTCTAGCTGCGACAAGATCTTCGTCATGAGTTCGACCGTGAATGGCGGGCGTGGTGCTCGTTTGCTGGGTCCGAGGCGATCGACGGCCTTGGTGAGATGTGACAGGCGGTTTTGATCGATTTTCCAGGGTTGGCGATGTATCAGATGCCAGGCCTGTATCCCGGCGAGGTGGTTATCGACGGCGCTTCGTGAGTATGCACCTGCACAGGAAGCGACGAAGGCTTCGACCAGGTCGGCACTAGCCGGGCATCGCGCCTCTTCGCCGATATCTCGTTTGTCGCACCAGACGTGGTAGACCAACAACCCTGACCCGTAAACTTCCAAGGTGTCGAGGGCGTACGCGTGCGGCATGACCTCGAGCACGCGTTCGACATCTGCCGCCGAGATGGGTAAAATATTCCCGGCCGTGTCTCGTGCGGGTCTCTGGTGTGCCGGCTTCCACTCCACTAGACGCTCGCGTGCAGGGCAGTGCTTGCGCAAGAAGGAGGGGTTCGGGGTCAAGTGCGGTTTGTATGGTCGAGGCGCAACGGCAACGGGAAAACGGGGTGCGATGGGCTGGTTGAACCGGCTAGGTGTCCCTCCAGAAGATCGGGTCGTGGAAGAGGCTCCCGCCCTCGGTGTCTGCACGTCGGTTAAACTCGGTGGAGCATTGTGCCTCAGCGGCAAGCTTAACCGCGGCCGTCGGCTGGGGAGTGAGACGCTCGGCGGGTTGTATGGGTGTGTCAAAGTCGACGACGAAGGGCGCAATGTCCTGGTGGATGGGTACGGGCGGGAGGAGGAGAGCTCGTGGTGGGTATTTCCCCCGAGACGGCTCGTCGGCGGGGTTCCGCGCGCTCTGGACGTATCGCGCCACGACAGAGATGTTGCACTGTTCGAGGACTCCGAGGATGCGCTTGAAAACATCGTTGCAGGCGGGGTTGCGACTGGCACCACGTTCCCAGCCCTCGACGACGCCCTTGTTATCGCCCCAAAGCTTGATGCGGTTCCCGGGGAGTCGTTGCGCCAGTGCTGCGTAAACGAGAAACTCGAACCCAAGGGCCTCGAGCCATCCGATGTCGAAACCGCGACGTTTCCAGCCAGGGAGGACCCGCCATGCACGCCACCGGTCCCCGATGATGATGCCGATGCCGATGGAGCTGCTGGCATCTGAGAAGGCACAAATGTCGTGGACGACGGCGGGTGTTGGGATGGGGCGTGCGAGACAAGGGCGGCTGAGTCGTTCGCGCCACCAAAGAAGATCGGCTCGCGTGCCGACAGGTGGGGCGCGCGGAACGAAAGGACGGTCAGCGGCGGTGCCCATGGCGGTTTCCAGGCAGGCGAGGTAGGGTCGGCCGACGTGGACGACGTGGGAGGCATGGTACAACTTCCCGTACAGTTCTTGGACTTCCTGTAAGACGTGGAGCGGTGATTCGAGAAACGAGTCGATAGTCGCGATGTACTTTGCAACTTTGCTCGGGGCCAGAGATACTGTCCTTCTTTCGAGGTCCCAGACGAAGCCGATGTAGGTCGTGATGTAGGCGAAGAGGAGATCCTTCTCGAGGTTCCAAAGCAGACCAAGTGTCGTGGAGATTTCGTCAATGTCCACGAACGAGTAGGAGAAGCGGCGGTCTTCGGGGGAACGAGCAGAGGAACTCGAGAGATCCAGTACGTCGAAGGCAAAGTCCTCACAGAACTCTTCAAGGCGGTCGTCGGGGAGACGTCCTCCTTCATACCAAGCCCGTTGTCCCGATTGTCTGCGGCCGCCACGGCTTGCGATGCGTGCCCGTACTTCACGCCGGCAGCGGTTGAACTCTGCGAGGTGCTCCCGGAGAACGCGGAAGAAGTTGTGATCGTCGACCCATTTGAGGACGGGCCCCAGGCCGCGCGCCCGCATGATGTCTGCGCCCGCGTCGGCGACGTGACCGAACACGCCCGCGCAGGCTTTCCCTCCGAACATGGCGCTAGTGTCGATGTCATATTCGTCCTCGCCGGAGCGAACGACCACTCCGGGCCACTGGGACGGGTGGAGCGGGATGGCACGGTACGCCTCCGAGATATCTCGACAGGCGGCCTGAGAGCCAGGGGGGAGCATGGAAATAAGTAAGCAGACGGCCGTAAAGGTGCCCCAAGTGCAGGGATAGTCCGAGGCGTCGATGGAGGAGTTGATAGAGGATATGCAACCATTGAGTAGAGAGTGCGGGTAGGATAGGTTCTGTATGAGACGTAGGATGTGGGGTTTGTGGGGTTTGGGGCGGAAGTCGAGGGGAGATGTTTGGAAAGGACCGAGGAGTTCGATGACTTGTGAAAGAGAGAGCGGGCCGATGTATCTACCTTTAGCGCGTTCGGCATGGACGATCTCGAGAAGCTTATCGTAATTGTCATGTACATTCCGTGAATTAGCAGGGGTGAACGTATGAGTAATGGGGGGAACCCCGATGATGAAGCCATTGCGGATAGAGACGGGTATCGTAGGGTACTTGTCAAGGAGACCGTGAGAGTGAAGGAGGAGCTCCCAAGCGTCGGCTTTAAGGGGTGTGAGCGGACTTGCTCTCCTTGCTGAGAGAACACTCCTGAGCTCCGTGGTACTTGGAGCCACAACCGGTGCACAAGTGTTCGTACTTGCACGAGTCTCGCCGACATCCTGTCGTGTTGAAACTGAGGCAGAGAGATATCCCCGACTCGCGGCCGATGTACTGGCCTGGTTGGGGCCCTCGTATGGCGTAGGTCTCGCGGGAGGCGTGGTAGGCCAGGTGTGTAGCGCTGCAGGTCTTGGGGTTGTGGCATTGCCGACCGAGGCATAGGGCACAGGCGGACGTCGACTGTCCAGGCCCGCCCGATGGAAAATGAGGCCGGTCGGAGTAGCCGGAGCTGTGGCGCGATTGGCGCGGTAGGTCGCGGTATTGGTCACGGGTGCTGTGGCGGTCGTACCGGTCATCGCGGTCTCGCTTGTGGCTCCTTGATCCAAGACGATCGTCCCGTCTGGAGTCGTACCGGTCGTCTTGTCGGGAATCTAGTCGGTCGTCGCGACGTGATGGCCGGTCGTAGCGATCACCTCGCCCGAAGGACAGTCGCGATGAAGAGCGCTCTGAGGCACGAGCGGCCAGCTGTGCGTTGTTGGAGGATAGCGGGAGAAAGCGCGAGAGATAGGTGACGGCGAGAGCACGTGAGAGCGGAAGGCGCGGCGAGAGCACGCGGGAATACGGGTGGCGAGAGCGCACGTAAGAAAAAGGAAGAGTCCCCCGCGGCGAGAGCATCGCGTGAATTGCAGTGGCGCGTAATTGAGAGGGCGCGTGTAGAGAGCGCGGGGGACGAAAGAGAGAGGGACGAGGAGATGCGAGAGAGATAAGGAGGGAGGGAGATAGGGAAAAAGAAAAAAGGACCAGTTAGCCGTCGATTCGTGAACGAATAGCTACGGGATAAACATACCTCTGCTTTCATCGCGAGTCGTTGCTCTTGCGAGCGTTCGTGTTCGAGATCGGACTTGATTTTGGTAAGCTGTGCCTCGTCGATCCGGCTGAAATCCCATATTTCTTCGACGTTGCGCTTGAGCTCGGAGTGATAGTGCAGTCGGGTCTTCGCGAAATATTTGACGAGGGCTTCGTCCGGCGGTGCATCAGCGTCCTTAGTCTCTTGAGCGAGATCTGGGTGATCTAGGATTGTGACGAAAAGTCGTTCGAAGGCGGCGATATGTGCTGGGTCCCAGTGAGCGTCTTCGAGTGCTCGCAGCCAGTTGGGTACTGCTTTGATGAAGGTGGCGTAAGGGAGTTTGTCGTCAGGTCTGATGCCGGAGAGCTGTAGGGCTGTGGCTGGGTTGGCGACGATGCGTATGTTCTCGTTGTCGCTGCCCTCTGGTTGCTCGCTCTCTGTCGTGAGCACGCGGGACTGCGGCGCGTTCGGTGCCTTGCCCGCCGCGGCGCGAGCTAGCCCGGTCGGCGACCAGTAGTCCAACTCCACGAATTCCTTCTTGATGAGCTTCTCTAGGGCGAAACGCGCTGCCGTTGGCCGGACGTGGAGCGGCATGGCCTTGTGCGCGACGATGGTCGGAAGGGCCGGGTACTTCTTCGCCTCCTCCATCCGGCGGCGTGCTATGGCTTCTTCGCGTTGTAGGCGGGCTTGCTCTTCCTCCGCGTTCTTCGTCGCCTGGTCTCGGGCGACCTGATTCTGCCATTGGGCAACCTCCGTATCGTGCTGACTTTTCCAGGCGTCGTTCAACTGTGCGATCGCAGCAGCCTTTTCGACACCGTTCCTCACGAGCAAGGCGACGACTGGGTGGTCTGGAGTCGTGTCATAATTTGGGGCCTGCTCGTTCGTTGGGTCTCGTTCGAGACGGGGCGGGAGATCTTCTGCCATGGTCGTAGTTCTAGGGCGTAGAGATGAAAACCGTGTAAAGACTGAGTTGAACTAGGTATTGTTGTATAGTAATCTATTGAAAAGAGCGAAGCGAAAAGAGGAGTTTGTAGACCGCGAGCGCTGTGAGAGCTGCGCTGGCGGTGAAGACGTGTGCGACCACGGCGGTGGGAGCAGAAAGATGTGCGGCCACGTTCCGCGCCGCGCCTCCATAGACCCTGATCTGCCTGCAGGACTCGTTCCTCGCCCTTTGGCAGATCGACACTCTTCCCTTCTTACCCTTCCTCCCCTCCCCTTCACCTCTTACACACCTTCAATAGCCGATATACCGACATACCGACAAACCGACACATACTGCATTGTTTCAATCGACTCACAAAGCAGACCCGCCACTGCCATCAATACCTATATTCGGCAATCCGACTGCCTACTTAGGAACTTCCGACTTGACCGCCGACCACCGGATCGACTTCGACTGTGATGGACTCTACTGTTTATAGAGTTGCCAGTGTGCATACGTCCGTCTCGAAAGAGGCGATGCGTAGCGTGATGGAGGCTTATGGGAATATGTCCGTGTTCCGTTTCTTGCTGTTTATCAACTCCAGGCTGACGATCCGTACTACTCATCACATCACCTGATATCACCTTCACTATCGCTGCTTCTGGATATACTACTGCAGTGTACGACTCTTATTCTGGCGCACGGACACCGCTACTCAGCGGCAACATTATTTTGTTGAATATGACCGTCCCGAGAGCGTGGGACGCGCGTGTCGTGCACAGGCACAGGATGTTGTCGTACACGCTCTAGCGGCCGCTCGACCTCTATGTGACGTCTACAAGGCACTGGTTCAAGGCGACGACAGCGCGAACGCCAGCTTCTTCCATCCAGGCTTCAATCAAGGAATGGCAAGAGAGAAGGAACGAGAACTAGGACGCAAGAACTCGTAAGTTATTCAAATATGATGTATGTGGACAGTTGGAAGAGACGCTTGCGGGATATAGGACCGTGGCGAGCCCTCGCTCAGGACCGTACGACCGACCAGGACCGTCTAACAGTAGATCCAACGGATACAGCAACGGCAGTTCGACTTCAGGTCTTCCCCGCAGACCCAGCTTCGCAACTACTACATCTTCCATAGGTTCCGCCGACCTCCCTCCCTCAACACCGCTCTCGCCCCGAACGCCAAAGGCACCAGCTCAGCCCTTCGACATGCTGATGTCTTCCCTGTCCTCAGCACCGCCTTCACGCACGACGCCTCTCCCCCTGGACACCTCCCAACCGATAGTCGACATGCTTCCACCTTTACAGCAGACGATCTCATTGCTTTATAACGGTATACCGATCACATTCGACTTGACGAAGATCGACCCCGACCCGGCGACGGTCGTGACTTTATTACAGCAGACTAAGGCCGAGCGCGGGCTTTGGGCGATCGTGGCGGGGTGGTATAGACGACATGGATACCCGATGAGCGCGTTGGGGGTGTTGCAGGCTTTATTGGACGGTGCGTGATGCACTCTAAGCTCCGGGTTTGCTAACATACGAATTTGCATGCTCTTTCACCCGTCAACCTCAAACCTCAAACCTCACTTCGCTTTACATCTTGCGTGCGTGATGATATATTTTTGGCATTGATGGTACAGGCGTGGCGCAACATTCTCTACCTGACCGCGAGCTTCGCCCCATATTCTTCATGCTAGCGAACTGTCACAGGGATCTAGCGCGTACAGAGGACAAACCCAAAGCACAAGAACACCGCGAACACATGCGTCGCTGGCTCCAGCGTGCGCTCGAATCTGATCGCACCAGCACCAACGGCGACTCAGCATCTTTCGCGGTTCCGTACGACTCCTTCAACTCGACCTCCAAAAGCGGCAACTTGATCGCTAGCGACAGTAACTGGAGTGTCAAGGCGGAGTACGGGAGCTACAAGCAAGGGTCCGATAAAGGACCGAGTCCGGCCACTCTGGAGATCAAACGCGAACGGGAGACCGAGCGTGACGAGCACGAGCGCGACCTCAAGCGACTGCACGAGGCCGAGTCCGAAGTCGACACTCTGCGCCTTAAACTCCGCGAGGCCGAACGACGACGCGACGTGGAGATGCGCCGGGCGCAGGAGGAAGAGGAGCGCGCCGACCGCGAGAGGAGGATGCGGTTGGACGATCGAGAGGACGCGGAGAGGCTGTTTAGTGCGCTTTCGGGCATTGCGAATAAGGCTGCGAATGGAGGCGATCTGGCGGCGCTTGCGACGGGCGTTGTGAAGCTCGTGCGGTAAACTGTGTAGTGTATATATTCTCGCGATCTGGCTGGCTCGTTGTAGTACCCGTCTCTCTCATACCGCACACGCTTTCTTGGCTTTGTAGCACTTGGCATTGTAAATCGCAGACACTCGAAACATTTCTTGTTATTTTCCCCTTTGTGTGACCGAAAATGGCCGGAGCGCGTTTGGAAACTGTGCAGTTCATGTTCGGCAAAGTCCGGCGTGCGAAAGCGAGTGCGGGGTTTACCGGATCACGTGCGATGAGAGCGCGCGCCGATCGAGACGTTGTGCTCGACGCCGCGCCCAACGTACGCCCCGGTCGCCGCCGCCCTCGCCTCAAGAAACCCCACCCTTTCTTTTTCTCGGCCTTTATTCCCGACAAAATGGCTACGGTGCTGCCCAAGGACGTGTCGAAGCTCGGCCAGGAGGTCAAGCTGTTCGGCAAGTGGGAGACCCAGGAGTGCGTTTAGAATTATACCTCGTATTGGAAAGGGAGTGTTGACGAGAAGTGTAGTATCGAGGTTAAGGATATCTCGCTCACGGATTACATTCAAACCCGCCACGCCGTCTACCTCCCGCACACGGCCGGCCGTTACGCCAAGAAGCAGTTCAAGAAGGCGCAAATGCCGATCGTCGAGCGTCTTGTCGACTCGTGCGTACTCTGTGATATATTCTTGTTGTATTGCAGTGAATAACATACGGAATAGTTTGATGATGAAGGGCCGCAACAACGGCAAGAAGATCATGGCCGTCCGCATCGTCGCGCACGCGTTCGAGATCATCCACCTTCTCGCCGACCAGAACCCCATCCAGGTCCTCGTCGACGCTATCGTCAACACCGGCCCGCGTGAAGACTCGACCCGTATCGGTTCCCAGGGTACCGTCCGCCGTCAGGCCGTCGATGTCTCCCCCCTGCGCCGGGTAAACCAGGCCATCTCCCTCCTCACCATCGGCGTGCGTATATCCCTGCATTGTAAAGTTGGAAATGTGGATATTGATTATTGGTATAGACCCGCGAGTCGGCGTTCCGCAACGTCAAGTCCGTTGCCGAGTGCCTCGCGGACGAGCTCATCAACGCCGCCAAGGGCTCCTCCAACTCGTACGCCATCAAAAAGAAGGACGAGCTCGAGCGTGTGGCCAAGTCCAACCGTTAGATTCGACTTGCACCCGTGTACTACGTATTCGATCGAGCTGCTGCGGCCGTGGGCAGCGCCGTGCGGGTCGACCGTGTATTCTTCTCCCTGTGTTCTCTTTATCGCCGCCCTTTTTTGCTGTCCCGCATGCGCCATGCCACCTTTTACATGTCCACTATGGTCTGTTTATCACTCCGTCCAATTGAAACACATGCGAAATCTGCGAGCATTGCGTGGCGACATGTCGGCCTGAACATGCGATATGGCCGTATGAGCTCTCGCTCTGTGTTCAGTGCTACAATCCGGTTGTCTTTCAGCCCCTCGATTTAGCCCGATTTGTCGCAAGAATGACAGGATATCAAAAATACTAGCGATCGCATCGCACACTTCGTACATCTCTTCAGTCACGCTCCGAAATGCACGAACGGCGCCCATCGTGCAAGCTCGTTCGCACCCACTTTCTCCCTCAGATGTTTCGCAGCCTCATGAAGCGCGTATGCTGCTCCTGTCCCCCCTCCGCTCGGATTCCCAGACTTTCGAAGCTCCAGCAATGTACGGTAGTACGACTCGACGACGAGTGGCGCGTCGTTGTCCCGAATGGACCACATCGTCGCGATGACACCTTTGAACCCCACAGCCAGCGTTCCGGCCGCAAGGTGCATTGACTCCTCGGAGATCGTCTCGTCTCCGGCTGCCGTTTGGCAGGCAGAGAGGAAGGCAAGCTCCGCGTTGTCTGAAGCTGTGACCATGAGATCTTCCAAGGACAAGAACCTGTCGTGAAGGGCGAAAGCGCTCTGCGTAGGGTTCGAGCGATTCTGGAAGCCATGGCAGGCAAGATGTATCCATGGATGTTTCTTTATGACTGCACGCACAGCATCATGCGTGGCGTGCCTGCCTTCCAGTACCGACGACGCAATCTCATAATCGGACAAGATCGCCTGCAATCGTGCTCCTTCAAGTTTGGTACCGGGGAGCGGTCGCAAACCGGGTGTGTTGGGTTGCGTGATCACTAGAACGCTAGGCGTCGAGACCTGTGTTAAGGTCGCTTCAAGGCTGCGCATCAGTGCGGACAGGGAAGGCGTGTACGATGAGATGACGTAGTCGTACGCGCGTGGGCCCGCTTTGTTGGAATAGATGCCCGCCGCGTGCAATGGTATCTGAGTGAGTGGGCCCATCGGACACCAGGTGATCTGAGGTAGGCGTGCACCCTCTATCTGGAGAGGAATGAGGACATTGGATCTGGTACGTGTGAGTTCTGAAGGCAACTTGAATGACGTACCCGATGCAGAAAGCCTAAGCTGCCCAGTATTGGCGATACAACCCATGTCCAGGTATATTCAAGCATCCGAACGACAGGGCCGTCGAGACCGTCGACGTCATCATCGTCAGAGACAAAGCTCGTGGCGCGCTCTCGGACATTGCGTTGTCGCAAGTACGCAGACCAGACTGAGCGCAGTTTCTCTGCTTCGACGAGCGTGAGCTCTGAGAGGGCCACAGAGATGGGCGAACGATTTGGAAACATGACAACGGCGTCACAGCGCTTTCCGTATGCATTGATGAATACCACAGGCCCGCTTAGTAGCGTCAATGAAGACGATATGGCTGAGAACCTCTTTGGTCGCATGAAGTCCTCAAGCCCGGGCTGGCGACGTATCTCAGCGAGAACGTGATCGTACTCGATAGCGAGATTGCGATGAACATCCGCCGCTTTGTTGTGGTCCAAGACAGCGGGGTCAGGCTTTCCCAGGGAAAAAGATAACTTGCGGGAGAACGACATTTGGACTGACTGCTGGAGTTGAGCTTGTATATCCCTGAGAGTGTGTGAAAGGTCAGGGCGCAGGCGCTCGACCTCGTCCAAAGGACTGCGTAACGATAGAACCTGGGACCAGACGAGATATCTGCCGGCTTCTAGCCATTCTATGGCTCGTGGCAAGTTTCCGGTCCGGATGGCTTCTCCAACGGACTGGTTCACGAGTTCTCCAAGGTTCTCGGATTCTTCGAATCTGCGCTTCACGCCGTGTCCAAGCCAAACAAGCTCGGGGATGATGTCAAAATGGAGGGAGAAAGCGAGCAGCTTGGTCTCCGGGGTGCTGTATTCAGGGTGATCATGATGCAGCAATACAGCCCTTCGCGAGGCTCTAATGCGCTCGGTGGAGTTCCCGAATCGTTGGGAAGCTGCGGCTGTGAAGCATGAGATAGCTTCATTGAAAACACCCTCGCTCGGATCGACGTGTAATTGCGATGCAAGGCAGCAACCCAGATTGTACAGGTATGTCACATTACTGGGATCTCCGTCGCGCATGAGTCGAGTAGCGCGACGATGTGCTGTGATGGCAAGATCAAGGACATGGACGTCGCCGGAATAGTCGTAATGTAGATTCAGCGACACGCCGAGGGTGCTGAGGTTCGAAGGGGCCACGGAGTTCGTAGCAGAGAGGATCTCAATTGCTCGTTCTTGGGCCCTGAGGGCGTCATCGAGGTCCACGACATCTTCGTGAGCATCGAAGCGGTCAAGAAGGGCCATTCCTAGGTGCAATAGGAGATTGGGCTTTTCAGAATGCCCTTCCGGAGTCAGAGCAACTGCACGACGATGGGACGTGACAGCATGTTCTACGTCTTCCGAGTCAAGATCGTCAGAGTGGTCATAACGAAGACCGTACAATAACCCGAGGGTGTCCAGACGAGAGGGAATATCAGGATCGTCGTTAGAGGTTAGTTCTATGACCCGTTGCCCCATCTCTATAGCGCTCTGAATGTCGTCTGGTTCGCCCAGTCGTTCGAACCGATGACCCAAGGCAGCTGCGAGATTAGCCATGATCTCAAGCTCATCCGGGTGGCGCCCCTGCGAGAGCTCGAGCGCGCGCTGTTGAGCAGCTATGGCACGCTCAAGATCGGAAAGATCTCCCAGGTGATGATACCGCAGAACATGAAGATCGCCAAGCGCATCCAACATTGTTGGCTTATGAAGAGGATCGTCCGGCGTGAGCTCGATGCTATGCTCTTTAGCCTTGATCGCGCGCTGAAGATCAGCAGGTGAGAGCAGCCGTTGGAACCGGCGAAGGAGCCAGTCGCTGAGGGTATCTAGCATCGCCGCTTTGTCGGAATGATCATCTGCAGTGAGCTCGACCACTCGTTCTTGCACCTTGATGGCGCTTTCGAGGTCCGCGAGCTTTCCCTGGTCTTGGAAACGAGACCACAAACGACTCTCTAGTTTTGTCAGCAGATCTACGTCAGGATCAAGCTGCAGCTCGATCGCTATCTGTAACAGAGCGATAGCTGTATCAAGATGGGCAGGATCTCGACTCTCTTCGTAGACAGCAAAAGCTGTCGCGGCAGCAATCTTCTCGGAACATGGGTCCGTAGGCTGTGGAGAAGCTACACCTTCATGATGTAACTGACGGGTGTCCGTTCAATGATAGCCGAAGTACTCCTTACGCCACGAACTCACCTTTTGAGGTGTAAGCACAGACTCGAAGGGTGCTCTTGCTTGACTCGTCATCGTATGAGTTGAACGGAAGACGCCAACTGTCTGCGGGATCAAGAGGAAGTCACTCGTGCCGGAAGGCTAAGGGTATGTAGTTCCTCGCTTCGTAGTTGAGACTACGAACTATCGAAGTGCGAGATGGGCGTACAGTTCAGGTCACCACGCGCTATGTCAGGGTGGCGGACACGTCCACGTGCGACTGCAAGCGGCGATCCGGTCCGGCACGAGCATCTTGGTCGTTTATGCTGCTACGGGGCCTGCACTTCCCTTCATGCTACGCCTCTGAGTCACGAGCTTAGCGCATCGATACAATCCGCCCGGATACGACACTGGCGTGGATTGAGTTAAGGCAAGTTCTGGGGCAGCTGGCATATCACTATCAAGCCTCGGCCCGAACTTCCGTCGACTAAGCGAGCCGCGTTTTCCACTTGAATCAGACAACCATCTCATTTGCTCTATCGGTCGTGCCCGTCCCTCAGACGTGCGAGTTTCCTGGTGTCATATTGGTGAGTCTGATATCATGACTACTCTCGGACCCTACACAGCTAACTTACCCTACGGACCAGTTGGATCCTCAAGTTGATCCTTCGAAGATGCTTGTAGATCACCCTCTCTGGGACGCGCACGGCACCGCACGACTACAACAATTGTTGCAGGAAGATACTGCTCCTGTGACTGCATCTCAATGTGCGCAGAGGGCCGAGGAGCTCGTGAAGGACGCCGATGCTTTACTGCTCCTATCCATCGAGTTCAAAACGAGAGCGAATCGACTGGCTCCGATATCTCAATTACCGCCAGAAATATTCCTGCGCATCACTCGCTTTGTGGTGGAAGCATGGCGCCCCTCCAGTCGGGATCTGGGCTGGGTACGCATGACGCACGTGTGTCGGTTTTGGAGGAACCTCCTCATGGGCGAGCACACGTTATGGGCGAACGAAATTGGCATCATCCCCAGAGCGTCCCGGCGCTTCCTGAAGCGCTCCGGCGCGAACGCACCCCTCCATCTCTATGGGATAGTTGGGCACGCACGCCTTGGGGATTTCTTTTTACCGTTGAAACAGCTGCCTCTACAACGAGTCCATACCTGGCACTGCTTCCTACCCAACCACTTGACGCTTGCGAGTTTCACCAAGCTGTTGTACAAGAACTCATTGCCATCGCTGAGGGATCTTGTCACAGATTACAATGGAACTTCTGTCCGGCACACCAACAAGATCGGCAATGCACCTGTGCTCACTTCCTGGAGAAGCAAAAGGGTGTTCTTCACGGTCATCGCGCCCTTACTAGTAAACCTCGACCTTTCTGCTGTCCATGTGACAGCCACGGAACTACTTTGCCTTTTTTCTCGGAGTCCTCTCCTGAGATCCTTCATCGGCAGTCGAATATCGTTTGATGAAGACGATGGGTCCGATACGTCTTGCCTGAAGGTGGACTTGCCTTCGCTACAAAAACTCTCCCTGGGAGTTTTTCGGATCAGCGCTCACGACCTCTATGAACGCTTCATCGCCCACATCGCCCATCCTACTTCTACAGAAGTTACGCTCAACATAACCCAAGATATTGGATCTTCGGCGGACTTCGACATTCTCATATACTACCTATGCATGCCATCGCAGGAAGATCTTCGATGGAGAATGGAGATAAGGAACGGTTCGGTATTCCTCACTGGGAGCTCAGTCGTGTCACCATCGCATCACGGGACAAGAACGATCGGCCTCGCCAACCAGACCCTCGGAACCCTAGTTCCTCATCTTCGCAATGGGTCTGAAGACCTGTCACTGGCGTTGGGAAACATACAGTACCTTGACCTGGACGGGCCATCAACTGGCCCTATACAGACGACCGGAGACGAGCGCATGGCCGAGCTTTGCATGGCATTGAGTGGGTTACGTGCCCTTCGCATTCTTAGCTGGGGCTGGTCACATCGGCACGATATCTTAGTCGCCTTGCCCAAGTACCATACCGCCAGCACTGAGCACCTCCTACCCCATCTTCAGTCATGGCGAGTCAGCTTAGATATCCTCGGCAGCGTGGGCGTCGAAGAGCTCGTCAAATGGCTTGAACCTCGCATAGGTGCCGGGATGGGTCCACATACCTTGCTCGTTGACTGTACAGAAGGTCATGCGCGCCCCGATTTCGACTCGCGACTTCTCGCGCTGGTGCCAGATGTCAGATACATAGACCCTCGAGATTGTGATTCTAGGAAACGGTGGCAACTAGTATAGAGAGAGCGCACGCGGATGCCGGTGAAGGTGTTGGTTGGGGGGTGGGGGCGGCGATGTACAGTACAAGGCGCAGAGTCAACGAAACGCATGTCTTCTGAGTATGTCGTACAACACAGAATAAGTCGAATGCAACAATTGTTCAGAATACGCGTGACAAACTGTGGTCTCCAGTGCTACTGTATGCGAATAACTTATGGATCCATCTACGACTTTCAAGTAATATCAATTTCGGGAGAGTGCAGCCTGCAGGACCGGCGATAACCGCATCCGGCTTCAATGATTCTCAATCGGGATGAAGCTTGACAGAGTGCGTGCATGGCGTCCACAGATGTCAACTAGCATACAGCCTGTCACACTATACTAGCGCCAACGATTAAGCTTCTCCAATGTCTATCGCAGTTAGATGCAGCATCGAATCCGAGCTCAAGTGAGAGGAACGGCGAGCGGATTGGCGCACGATTGCCGGACTCGTGAGACGCGCAGAGCCAGACTATATGCGCCTATTTGTCCAACGCCCACATAGCAAACCCCATCCAAACCAGGGCTCGCTAGACCGTACGCGACATAGCTTGGTATGCGGGTTTGATATGACATGTACGCGCCGCCACAAGCTCGCAGATCGCGGTCGATGTCTCCGGTGGCTGCGCCAGCGCCTCCCCGGTCTTCATTCCGCCCCTCCAACCCATGCGGACCGCGGGCGGAAATGATATATTGATTTGATACCTCCTGCACAGCACCCTTCGCGCGCATAATGAACTAAGGGCGCCTCAGAGAGAGGGTGCAGCTCGGCCGCGACGAGACGAGACGAGGCGGCGTGATGTGGCCCTCCGGACGCCGCTGCGCCACACGACTCAAGCTCGCAGCTCGGAGCGCGCCCGCTTCCCACCCCCCGATCCATCCTCCACCGCGCCCAACTCTATCCCTTCACGGCTCAAGCTTCAAGATGGGACGACATTCGAGCTGGCCGATGCTTCCCAGCGTAAATGCGCGCCGTCGCACGCCGAGCGCTCATGTATACTCCGTGAACGCCAGAAGAAGGATCGCGGTCGAGCGTTCCCGCGCATCGTCATGCGTCCGGTCTGCATCGCCGCGAGAGGGCCACCCGCATGACCCCTCGAGATCAAAGTCCGTAAGTCCTAAGACCGTACTGAATGGCCTTGACTAACTTGCCTCTATGACGGTCAGGTAAGGTAGGGTCTTTGCTCACAGACGGGCCAGACTGGTACAGACCCTCTCGAGATCCTTACTCCGTCCCAGGTTCGGCGCGCCCTGTTTTTCGCACCCTTACGCACGAGTGAACGCGAAAGAGCGCTCAACGTACGCGAGAGTCAGCCGATGTGCGAACGTGAAGTGGCATGAGGGCACCGGCAACGTTCCTCCTACGTAGCACGCGTCCGTACATCTGTAGCCGTATGGCACGGCGGACACATATCAGTGGAGATTCACGTACAAACGTACAAACCCGCTGAGCGCTGGGCAAACTCAGCAAGGGACGATAGCGGCGAACGTTTTGTCGGACACGGTTCGCAGTGATGGCGAAGTAAACGCCTGATGCATTCGTCTGTGCGCGCCCGCCGACTGCTTCTGCCGACTCCAGTGGAAGAGATCGACGCGGTCTGTACCCTGCTTTCAGAGTGAAGACACCGCGCGAGAGCGAGAGCGCGTGATGCGCAGCGTGGTGAACATGGGGCGGAGGGCCGCACGAAGAGAACCTGGATGAGCGCCCGCCCCAGCGCTCGAGCCATGTAAGGCGCCCGCACGATCGGATTCGAGGCGCAAACCAGCCGAGTACCGCCAAGGCATCCACCTGCAAGCCCGCACGGCGCAGATACCCACCCGAAGAGAAGCCCTAAGCGGTCATGATCACCTTGAGGGTCATTAGAGAGGAATGGACGGCGATCACGCAGGTGCAGATGGATGTTTCGATGCGGACAGTCCGAATGTTATTTCGATTTCGAAAGCAAAGAAAAACGCGAGCGCGAGCGAGGACGGGAGGGGGTAACCAGTAGACAAAACCAAACACACTTTCTTCTTGGGGGAAACAAGACAATCCAGATCCCTTCAAACACGTCATTCCAGTCCAGGGTTGGGTAGAGGAAGGGGTAGTAGCGAGGTACGGGGGTAGAAACGAGGCAAGAAATGGAAAGGGGGATTGGATGGGGCGATATGAGATATATGAGATAGGGATATGGAAGCGAAAGAAAAACAAAAAGGCAAAACAGATTGCAGGCACGGATGAACGCGAACGCGGGCGGGGGTTTGTAGATAAATTACACCTCGAGAGCGACGTGCCGGGCGGGAGAGGAGGTACAAAGGATGCGAGAGCGGATTGAGCGACTGGGTTGATGCGGTTGCGGTGCGAACGGCTGTACAGGATGCGACAGATGCGGGCGCCCGTTTGTGCGTGTGGGGTGTGTGGTGGTGTGTGGCGTGGTTCGTGTTCGTTGCTTCTAGGTGAGTTGGTTGATTTGTCGAAAAATGCTATGAAGAAATGCGAGGATGCGTGTTGCGGTAGGCGTATAGATATGCAGTTGCAGCGGGGCGTGACAGACAGAGAGAACATAGTGAGATCCAAAGGAAGAGCGGATGGAGGGCCGGGGGTACACCAGTGGAAAGCGTGACGCCGCCGCGCGAGCGCACAAAGGGGGTGTGCGGGCGTAGATGAAGCGGTCAGGGCGGAGCAAAGAAGCGCGCCGCGCGGCGGATGCAAGGATGTGGGGCGTCGTTGATGTGCGTGGTGGCTTGAAGGTTGAGGTATATTACACGAAGAGATGCTAGGGTATGTCCGTGGGCAGTCAGATGGGGACTTTAAATAGCGCGCGACATGCGAGACAGGACGCGGGGCCGAGGCGGGGGGTTTTGTGTTGCTGGAGGATCCGAGCTGATGCGAGGCAGGGTAGTAGTACAAAGCGCCGGGGCAGAGGGCATGCGGTGCGTCGGGTTCGTGTTTTGATGTCCGTGTCGCGCGGGCAGTGCCGCGTGCAAGGCGGGCGGGCGCCGCGGGCGGGAAGCCGATTAGCGAGAAGCCAGCTCAAGGGGACGACGACGAAGGAGAACGACAGGTGCAGAAGCGATGCCAGGCGACAGAGACGCGGGTAGACACCAGATCGGGCTCATTGTTCCTGTTGCTTCGGTTCGGCCACCTTCGGCACGCAACCGTCATAGCCACGGTAGCCAATCGTGCTGCCAAATTCAGAAATCATGGCTTTGCCGAGCAGGCAGACCCAACCGATGCCCTCGCCGGAGCTCGGTGTACTAGGCCAGTAGAGCTCGCCGTCCTTGTCCTCCATATCGGGCTCCGCCTCGTCGTCATGTTGCAACGTGCTGTACAACACGCGCGCAAATGTCTTGGGGAAGTGGATCATGAGCGTGCGCAAGTTCAAGCTGGACGGTGCGTATGTCAGAGCTCGGCGTGCAGAGCCGGCGGCACTGGCCAGGCTTAGCGCCTCGTCGGCGACAGGGCCGGGGATGCCGATGAACTCCTTGGCCCACTCGTTCCGGTTGAGTTCAAAGTCTTGCGGGCTGAGCTCCTTCTCCTTTGGGGTACTGGAGTCCGCGCTGCCAGGGGTACTCGTACTTGCGGGCGAAGGAAGAGAGTTGGCAGGTCCCTGAGCGGCGGCCCGCTCGGCGCGGACTTTCTTCTCCTTGTCCGCCTTGGAGCGTGCGTACACGCGATTGCGCTCGGCGTCGAGCTTCGCAAAGTCGCCCTTTGAGCGGATCTGCTCGTAGGCGACGATGCGCGAGTTTACAAATCCGTCGATGAGGAGACTGCGGGGGTATTACGGGATGAGCTGGATGCGATGCGAAATGCTTTCACACGGGGGGGTTGAATATGAATGATACGTACACTAGTCCGTTGAAGCACTTCTCGCGCTCGTCCACTGCGTCGGTCGCCCACAATTGGGAAACGACCGAGGTGAGTCCGGCGTTGGATCGCCAGGCGACAGTGTTACATGACTTGGCCGAATAGTCCGAGAGCCAGTGGGAGTATGCGAAGCAGATGAGCGAGTCGATGAGCTCGAGGCGGGCCATGAGGGACATGTGCTGGTGGTAGGGATCGCCGGGTGGTGGAGGGTTCTTTAGCGCCTTGTAGCTTGAGGAGTTGGGCGCGAACGAGGCTGAGTTGTGTGCCTCGCCCGAGAATTTGAGCTTGCGGGCCAGTTCGCGGTATTCTGCCGCCTTTCTCGTCCAGATCTCGTTCGTGCGGTCGAGCCGGCGGCGCGGGCGGACAATCGGCATCGGGGCTTGGACCGCCTGATGGACGGGGTGCTGCGGCTGTTGCCGGGCGTCGTCGACACCGTCCACGCCGTGCTCGTGTCGGCGATTGCCGTCGGCCGCGACTCGTTGGCGCTTGCTGTCCTGGTTGCTGCCCAGGTGGTCCGAGTTCCGCTTCGAGCCCGGCGCGGGTGATCGGGAGCTCGAGGCCGTGGGTAAGTCTGGGGGCAGCAGAGGGTCGAGTCGGCTGAGGATCTGCAGCGGCTATGAGATATCACGGCGAGGACGTGCGCGAAGATGCACGTGCCTGTAGATTGCGTTCGAGGGCGGGGCGCGACGGGCGTCGTGCGGGCCTGAGGGTGCGTCGGGGGCGGCGGTGAGCTCCCACTTGTTGGAAATGTCAGACATATGGCGCGACTAACCTGGTGCGCTTGGATGATGAAGAGGAGGATGCTGAGGCGTGCGGGGACGGCATCCTGGTCGCTGCTGGGCGCGTGGTGGTCGAAAGCAAAGCAATGGGCCGCCTCAAGCTGTGGTGCGTCCGGCCATCATCCCACGTGCCCCGCCCTCAGGCTCAGCCCTCCCTGTTTCACTCACAGGTTTCGCATACCCTCCCTTTCCGCGTACTATCCGCCACAATTACCACTGCTAACTGTACAGCCCGCTATGCTACCCTATCAACCGGTCCGCGTAGCATTACATTCACAGTACGACTCGGCTCCCCTGCATACCGTATCTCCCTCGGACCGCTGGTTCTCACACTGACCATGCCATGCTGCCCCTTCCGCCGGCCCACGCGCTTCACATCGCCCGTGTCCCGTCGCATGCTCAAGCTCAAGGCCCACCTGCCTCCCATCGCTGCCAGTCAGATACCCGTACTCGGTCCTTACTCGGCTGGCCAAACTCCCCAGCTTTCGCCGTCCTCACCCAGCGCCTGCGAGTCTACATGCATACGTACTACGCGCACCGGGCCTTCCATTCCGCCCTTCCATAACTCCCATCTATACCACTCGATGCCGCCTGATCTAAACGCCCAAAGGTGTAGCTTATGACACAGGCGCGCAGAACCCCGCAGCCCGAGCCCGAGCCTCTCTCAGATTGTATGACTTGGAACACATATTATTACTATCCTTCACAGTGTGCAAAGCCCTTCGTACGCTCCGTCTCATCGCTCTCAGATGCTCCCATCCCTGTGGATCTACGTCTACAATCGTGGTTAGCTCGCAGCTGTCTAAGTACCAGCCTCTTCAACACCGCGGCGCGCAGCTTATTGTGCCCACGTTCCGAACAAGGTTCGATGAGATCCAATCCAATCCAGCTCAAGATCCAAGTGAAATCCCATCTGTTCTGTGGCCGAATGCCGACCCGGCGCCTGATCCTTTTCCGCTTTCTCTACATCGTGTTGTAGGTGGCAACGGCCTTTGTGTCTACTTTGTCGGCGACGGTGAAGGGGAGGAGGCGCGCATTCAACCGAAGCCACGTGCGGCGTGCGGCACACGGACCCGCCGCCGCACATGCGTCACCTCCCGCCGCTCCTTCCGAATACGAACGCTCCACGAAGCCCACTGTTCCAGAGCCCGGCTCGATCAAGCCTCTACAAAGACTAGACTCGAGTCGGTCTGACTCTGCCACCCGCCCGCCACCACACTCTTACTCGCGACCCTACATTCTTCACTGCAATCTAAGTACGATGCACGGTACGTTTCCGGAATGTTCGGGTAGTCGGTCTAGTAGTCAGCGTATTTGCCTTTGGGTGCTTTGATGAGCAATGGACGATAGAGTGGCGTCATGATTCATGCATATGTCCGAGTTGCCAGAACGGGAAGGACGCGTCGCGTTTCTGCGCGATCTGGCGCCAGCGCGCCGGGTCCGCGCTGCCACACAATGACAAACGGGGCGCATCGGGATCGCAGCGCTCCGACGACACCCGCAGCCTCCTCCTCGCCGGCGACCTTTCCCTCAACTGCTCGAACCCTCGACGCCATCCCGCGTCGTCGATGATACGTCGACAACGCGTCAAGAGAGCGGGAGATTCTGTGTGCGATCGTATTCAGAGTGCCTTGATGAGTGCGGAAGCATCGGTCGACGAAATCGCTCAATTGAGGCCCAGGGGCGCTCCCGCCCGCGGACATCACGGAGAGCCATCCAGGGGCGATCACCCTAGCGTCGTTCTCGAGGCTCAAGCTTCCCGCCCGGCGGCATCTTTGCTCGCCATGCCACCACAAGTCCAACGACTCGATCCCAAGTACTCACAGCACCGCACGAAGGGCAGTGGAGTGGGATATAGGATATGAGAAATGAAGGGGAAATGGGATATGGTGAGAGGGCGGGTGGAGCGGAACCTTGGTCTGGGTCGGTCAGACTCTGGGAATTCAGGCGGACTTGTAAATGCGTGACTGAAGCGGAGGAAGGCCGAGCGACGTCGCGAGACATTCCGCCCAGATCTAGAGGCGGAAGCTTCGTATGTACACGCCCACCCCGAATCAGAAATGCGAGCTCTTCGACTCGCTCGTACGCAATGCCTGACGCATATGTGCGGACTTTCTCATCGCGCGATGCGTTGCCGCGTAGCGCGTAGACACGAATTTGCGCAAAGAGTGTTCGGAATATGTCGAGTACATACGGAATGCTTGATTGGGTTCTGTTAAAGCTTGGGCTCGTAAATACGCTTTCACCGTAGATCATCCGAGGTACATCGTCCAGCGTTCAAGAAATACTCAGAAAAGATCGACGCTCGCGCGCATCGGCGAGATAACGCCGACGACCTTCGCTCCGAGCGCGAGCAGGTCCCCGCCGGCCGTAGCCACGAGATCGCGGTCCTCCGCGACGACCTCCGCGCCGAGCAGCTTGTCGAGCGTCGTAGACGCCAGCGCGATCGCGTCCTCCTTCGAGATACGTCCTCCGGACTCGAGCGCGGCCTGTTCGGTCATCCGCGTCAGCAACACCGTCCGAGCATACGCAGTCTATCAGAAGAAGAGAAGAGAAGGCGACGGGCAAGTGACGGGCGGGGTAAGGCAAAGACGCAGACGTATGGAATAGAAGGAAAGGGACCGGAAGACGCACCCATCCGACGTCTAACCGCGCGTTCCGCGCCATCCACTCGCCCGACTGGCCTACGCCGACTTCGACGCCCGCCTCGAGCAGCTTGACGATCGCGTTGTCCTTAGTGAGCGGCGGGCC